TGGAGGAAGTACCTTGGCATATGCTTTCTCCCCACAGTGGCCCCATGTCCTACTTCCCAAGATGCCCTTGTGTTGGAAGGACTGCCCAACTGGAGCACTGATTCAAGATGACATGTCATAAGGAAGGAAACACCCATGTTTTTGATTTTGCATGTATGTTTTCTCCTCAAACTGTTGAAGCTTTAGTCAGCAGAGAGGTGTGAGAGAATAAAATAAACGGGTTGTGTTGTGCTTTTGCTTTCTTTTTAGCCACAGTTCTGCAAACAACTGTAAACATAGATGAGTCTGGCTGAAGTGCAAAGCAAATTTGCACTGCATTTTAACTGGCCACCAACTGAAGTAGCAGGATTATCCTTGCTTCCCTATATTTGCATATCCCATTCTCTTGTAAAAGATGCAAAGGGGACACCAAATTTGGCATACGTATTTCTGACATGAGCTTGCAAACTTCCAATAACAGAGATCCAAATTTAGGGTAGAAAGGCTGTGTGTGTGTGTGTGTGTGTGTGTGAGAGAGAGAGAGAGAGAGAGAGAGGGAGAGAGAGAGAGGGAGAGAGAGAGAGGGAGAGAGAGAGAGAGAGATCGATCCAGGAAGCACTGCTTCAGAATAATAATTCCAAACAGAATGGATCTGAGGGAATCTTTTCTCCCTCAGTCCTTCCACCTGAAGGAGAGAAGGTGGAGCCCACCAAAGTTTTGCCAGGGGCAGTATAATCAGTGAGCCCTGAGTTTAGTAAGGTTCTTGGAATTCTACCTCGAAGCTCAGCCTTCCTTTTTTCATTTCTGATACTACTTTTTTTCTTCTCCTGCCTCCTCTTCCTCCTTCTCCATCTTCTTCTACTGAACACACCCAAATTTAGCTCAGCTTGAGTGTTTTTAAATCCCAAATACTTCCGTGGGAGAGGCATGCATGTTCTTTGCTTTCTGTCACTGAAATGAATGCTACTTAGGCCCAAACTAGATGAGACATACAAAACGGGTGACTGGAATATCCTCCCAGTTTTGTTTTCCTCTTTAGCATAAGAGAGATGTATAATTTCTCCTTAACACATGGAGCTTACTCTTTATCTATAATCCTTAATTGCCATTGATTCTTCATAGCTTCCATCTAGTCTGAAGTGCCTGATCCTGTCTAATCTTGGAAGCTAAGCAGGGTCAAGCTGGGTTGAAATCTGGATGGGTGACTTGAGTCCTGCATTGAGCAGGCAGTTGGACCTGATGGCCAAGTAGGCCCCTTCCAACTGTATTATTCTATGATTCCAAGACACACACCCATAGCAAGAAACTCCCATCATACTGTGCAGAAGTACAAAGAAGGGTTACTCTGAGCACAACTGGAAGAAGAGCTGTTGTTCCAATATTTTCAACCATGGAGTGTGCCTGTACAAGAATGAATTTTGGGCTGGAATCCAGAAATCACTTTCCCATCTGTAGTGATTGACATAAATATAATTCAACCAATCCTGTAGATGGGATAGTCTATCTATAATAGTCTGTCCAATCTCAAAGGATTAAGGAACTGGAAGCATGTAATATGCTTCCTATTCTTTCTGTAACATCATGACATTTGATGTTGTCCTAGGTTTCATATAACTTTTGAAGACATGATAACCAGTTTATTGTAGCAGATAGAATGCAGAACTGGGACTAGCAAGGTCAGTGTTCAGTTCCATGAGGTTCATGGTTTGACCTCAAGCCAAGCTTTTAGACTCAGATGAACTTTCCTCAAAGGGTTACTGTGAGGATAAAATGGGATAATACTTTGTAGGTCACCCTGAGCTCATCAGAGAAGGGTCGGATCCAAGGAGGGTGATCAATAATAAATGTAAATTGGTTTAACTGATGTGGCTTCCATCCAGGAATCCTTGGAATTATAAGTCCTATGGTCAGACTGAAATCCTGGAACAGAAAAGTCTCTGTACCTGCACAATCCCCTGTATTCCACAGGAAAATCTCAGTGACAGGTGTGGTTCCTACAATAGGCAAAATGAAATGGACATAGACAGCTTATTTTGGGTCTCTCTTGAAGGGCAGAATATTGTTCATTAGTAGTATTGTAGCCATCATCAACTTCACAGCATATCCTACTGTTATGAAGTACACCAAAATGCTTTGTCGCTTTTTCATAGTAGCTCAATGTGCTTACAACCAGTTTAAATGCCTGTGTAGGTGTGATGGCAGAATAAGACAAGGTTTGATTTTTTTTTTTTTCCTGGCCCCGGGGGGGGGGGGATCAGTCCAGACAAAAGCTGTCCTGATCTTGTAATACCTGCCAAAAGTGCAGCCTGTGCTATTATGCAAAGTAACCTTCAAGTAGAAAGCAACCTTCAATTATGAGATAGTCAATTGCAATGCATAATGAATGCATCCCATTAATCTTGTCTCCCTGTGAAGTGAGAAGAAAGAGAAATGAACTATCAACTCCAGTAAAATGAAGCATAGCAAACTATGAGATGGAGAGGATTCCTGTTTATGGGCCTTGAGTTTCACTACTTGATGCATCTGTTCATGGAAGAAGCAGAGACATTTCTAAGAGGCAGAAAGAACCAACACTGTAAGAAGATCAAAGCATTTGGAGAGAGAGGTTTTTGTCTGTTCTTCTGCTTTTCCTTTTTGAATCAATGCATTGCTGCAACTGTAGCTGTGTTTGGGCATTCCTAAACTGGGATGCCTGGACATTTATTTATTTATAACATTTTTATGCTGCACCCATCGCTGAAGCCTCAGGGCGGCTTACAAAGAAAATAAATAAACAAAGCATAGAATAACATTTAAAACCACAAATAAAACAACCGATTAACAATTAAAATATCATTTAAATAAAAAGGTCTTGGCCTTGCGCCGAAAAACAAATAACAATGGCACCAGGCAGATCTCTCTGGGGAGCGCATTCCATAGGTGGAATTGAAGGAGAGGGATCCATGCCCTGATCCAGAATGCAGATTTTCCAGCATTCTAGATGGCGTGGAGAACCTCTATGGGTAGATGAAGCTTCAGAATGCCAGTATCTGTGTGTAGAGGACCATAAAAGTTATACCAATAGGTAGGATTACTGTGTTCCCTCTCCTTTCATGTTGAGTCTCCCCAGTAAAGAAATGCCTGAATTACAGATGTGTGAGGAATTCATTTTTGGGATAGGAATCCATGGGAATCTCTGAGTTCAGCTTCCCAGTTTCCAGCCCACTTTTTTGTATTGTTGAATCTGACTCACTGCCAAGTACTCTGAGTGTCTGCATGGTGCCTGCCAGGAATCAAGCACCACACAACCACTGTGCAAGCAGTACCCTTTTTCCATGCACGTGCTTGTAGCTTTTGTTGTGCAGTTGTTGTTTAAGAAGGTTGTCGGTTATGGAACTGGGATTCCACAAGTGTTCATGGACTTCTTCTCAGCTCAGCTTACTTTGGAGTCCTGGGCCAAGCATGTGAGGAAGTCTGCAAACTTCAGACAGGTGGATCGCACGCAGCTTTGTTGCAACACTGGACTGATTAAGGTGAGTGGTGTTGGGTTTTACATGAATTTTACTCATTTCCATCAGTATCTTTTTCTCAATGCCTTGGTTCAGGGAAAAACAAACAGACTCACTCCCTGATTGCACTCAGAGGGCAATAGATCAGAAGAATGAGGAGAAGGACCCTTAAAAATATTATTTGGTTCCAGATTAGGAAGACACAACTAGCTCTTACAGACCTGTTGACATGCAGGCGATGGATGGATGGCTATTTGGTAACATCATTCTAAAGAAATCGTGTGATTCCCACCATCTTACAGAAGGTCTGGGAGGTTCAGTGTTTATGCATGCAGTGACATCTTTGCTCCAGATATTCCTGAATGAAGCTGAATATTTAAACCTGGTCTAGCCCAGCCTTCAGCCCAGATTTGGAAGTGCTTCAGTCACACAGGTGACTGCATGAGTAGATGAATGGGATGGGGAAAAGGGTGCAGAAAAGGCCCTTCTCTGTCGTCACACCTCACCTTTGGAATTTCCTTCCAGGGGAGGTGTGACCAGCACCCACTTAACCTTGCTTTTAGTGCCGAGTTAAGACTTTTTTAATTTAGTGTCTGTTTTTAGATTACGACCACTGGCCTTGCAACTGGTTTATTGTTTTATTGTACTATTGGTTGTTGTTTATTGGTTATATTGTGTTTATTTTCTCCTGTTGCATTTATATAGTTGCATTTATGCTGTATTTTGATTCTATTATGTTTTATGGCTTTAGTTATTCTTGTTTTTATTTTTATCTGTATTTTTATGATTGTGCTGTGAGCCATCCAGAGAGCCTCTGGCTATGGGGTTGCATACAAATGCACTAAATAAATAACAGCCCCTTTACACCATCCTGCAGTATTTGATACCACTGGGCATGGGATCTACTGGGGTCTTTTTTTCAGGGAAGAGCTATTCAGTTGTGCCAATCATTACTTGAAGCATCCGCTCTGGAAGATCGTACTGGAAAACTGCTACCTCCCCAGATAACCTGGGTGTTTCCCCTAAAGTCATTCGCTGAGAATTGAGAATCTCCCCACTCATGCTCTTGCTCCCTGCTCTATATCTGCTCTTATTATCAGCACTGCTGACATATAATTGCAAACCGTGTGGAGGGATAACTAAGTATGTCTTTCTTCTTAGGCTGCTATTTTTCAGCAAAGGGCCCAATTGTTCCCAAGTAAGTTGAACCAATATATCAGGTTCCTCAAGGCAACATCTTTGTACATTCTCAATTGCTCCGTGAAGTTCTTCTATAAATTTCAGCCCTATCCAGAAGCTGAATTTTATGATGGCAAACCATAGCAAAACTTCATACAGCTCCATTTTGCACTGTTTTATCAGACTTAGTTGGAAGAGATCCATGGCTCTAGTTTTCATTGTTGTTGTCCCACACTGCCACAGGTGCAGATTAGTGGCATATCCGGGGGGAAGGGGAGAAGGTATGAAATCAAAGCCATTAGCATCAAACATTTAGCTAAACTATTGCAGAATAAGATTGGCAAAGTGACTTACGTGTTGCAGCTGGACTCGGCTTTGGGCCCTGGCCTCTGATTTTGCCATCATGCCGGAAGCATTAAGGCTATAGGTTTTCCCATTCTGCATCTCTTTCATCTGTTCCTGAATATGCTTTGTTTGTTTTCTGCAAAGAAAGGGGAAAAGACAAACAAAATATCCCCAAATAAAGACAGGCAGTTATTATTTTTCTCACTGCTCTCTCAACAGTGCTAACATGATTTCTCCATCCCATAAACCTGCTTCTCTACCAGTAACAGAAGGCAATGGATAACTGTGCAAAAGTGAATCCAGCCAGAGTGGACCCTTAGAAAAACCAAGGATCAATGCCCCAGATGGCTCCCCTATGCTGAGTTCCACTTTTCCTGATCATGGGTTTTCCCGCCCTTGCTCCAAGCCACTGGCTGCTGCTAGTGGAGGTGGAGAAAAGTGTGATGGGGTCCTCATATGGGAAAAGGACCTATTAATCTCTTCCCAGTGGGAGGACCAGTATGAGCAATTCTCTTGTCTCTTACAAAAGTGCAACCTTATCTTAATGGGTCTGCACATGCTGCATTCTAGCAACACCAGAGACTTGGAAAGCTAGAAATATACCCTGGACACTGAGATTTTATTTAAAAGTCACCAATGAGTTAAACACTTGCATTTATACTTCATTTGAAAAACAAGTAGGCCTCACATATTCCACTTCCTGTATACGTCTGTAGAATATCTGTACAATGAGTAACTTCCTTTTTAGGAGAATTTTATGATATAATCCAGGATTACTGGACAATACCATGTTAGAATGCATTGTCCTTTTTTCCTTTTAAACCCTATCTGCCATATATACAATTCATAATCTTGACTACACTTCAATTGCTCCCAAATTAGTATTTAAGATAAACTCTTATCTGCATGTCCCACCCATCACCTTTTTGGAGAGACAACCATTGATTCAAACTAAATCTCAGCTTTAAGGTGTGATTGTTCTTCTCTGTGAGACACCAGGTATAGCTCAGAAAAAGGGATAAAAGGAAAATTCACAGTTAAATGTTCACAGTTAAATGCATGCTAAACAAATTTCATGGTTTGGAGACACCATGCAAATCAAAATGTATTGATCTTTCAAACTTTGTGCTTTTGCAAATTTTGGAATGGAGTACTCAAAGTTCACAGGGTGGGCAACTTAGCAATGCTCAAGGTCACTGAGGTTCTCTGAATTCCTTGTCAGAGCTGATTTGAGCTCATCTGCATTCCCCAGTAGAAGCATCTTTTTTAATCAAGAAAAATACACATTTTCACAAATACACAAAAAATAAACAAATACACATATCAAGAAAAATACACATTTTCCCCAACTGAAAAGTGTGCAATTTTGAAAATGCTCATTTTCCCTGATTGGAAATATACATCCCCCCACCATCGGTTAAAGTTGGGGAAAATGCATATTTGCACATGTAATTTCTTCTAAAAATTAATGCAAAAGGCTAAAATTCAGGAAATTGCTAAATTTTCCTGAGAAATGATTTCCTGTTTGTGCTGACGTTCAGGGTTGCAAATAATATATGTTCATAAAATTTACTAGCAGGCACTAAAGACTTCAGCTGGTAATGTATAGTTATGGAAATATGTGAAACCACATGCATCATGCATTTCCTTTCTTCTGCTTAATGCAATTGGCTTCTGCCACATCTAGTTCTGCCCTAAATTTAGGTGTTGTCAGGAATTTAGTGTTAGGTGCACACCTGAACAGCAAGTTTATGTATGCAGCATGTTATATGGCATTGCATTTCCTATATTCATTCCATGCCCTGAACCAAAATGTTGAAAGTAACGCTGTCCGCATGGCTGAAAGAGGGCTTTGTGATTTAAGGGGAACTGATGGTGGGGAGAATGGTTCTATCTTCATTACATTTGTTTGTGCTTGCTCATCTCAGCATGTGTCTCACTGGGATGTTGACAACTTTTTTGAAATTAAAAGCTTGTCACCCAGGCCAACATACAGTCTAATACATTTAATCTAACTTCTTTTGCACAAAGATGGCCTTTTCAGAGCAAATAGGTTACTCAGCAGCAAATGCAATTACACATTAATACCGCTGAAATGCCTTTGTTAAAATGTTCTGAACATCTTAACGTAGAGCTTTGTGTAATATTTTCAGTGATTGCAGAATAAGCTTGGACAAGTCCAATTAAAGTTACAAATGTCACCTATTCCAGTCCCCCAACCATGCAAAAACAAATTCTGTGTAAGCTATAATCGTCCTTTCTATTTATAGGACAAACTGTAATAACCCAGAAGGTGGTGCGTGTGTGCTTTCAGGTCCTCAGCCATAAAGCCCACTTCCCAGATCTCGGGCAAGAATCTCCTGTATTCTCCTCTAATTCTGTTTCTTCTGAGTCCCCCATGAAATCAAGGCAAGGTGTGCTGCTGATAGACAAGTGGTCATAAGCATCTGGTCCACAAACAAGCAACCATGCCTATCCTGTGCATGAATCTGTGATGGTTTTCCTAAGGTCCTTGAGCACCACCAATCAGTCTGATTCAGAGCAAAGACAAACCATCATTTTCACTTAGTTTCGAACCAGTTGCAAATAGTTTAGTATAAATGTTAACAGAATGTTTTGTAATGTACACTAATGAAGATATTTGATGTGCTATGTGCCCATGAAGCAACTCTGGTCTATCTTTCTTGACAGTTTACCATTGAACTGAAGCAAAATTCAAACTGAAATTTCAAGATCCAGCTTTTCCTTCAGGATTTGAGAAAAAGTCAAAGAAATTTCATTATGATCCATGCATTGCCCATAGAGATCTAAAAAGTCTAGAAAAATTCCTGCAAAGAACAGGAAAACCAAATTTTCTCCAAAGTATATCAGAAAGTTGGAGGAGGAAATGCAATGCTTTCTTTAATTTCTAGAGATCTTATTTTACTTTATTTCATTTTATTTTATTTCATTTTTACTTTTGGCATTTAAAATGTATTATGTAAACTTGGTTTGCTCATGAAACTGTTATATCTGGTATATGAAGTTTGATCATATAGTTGATTGTGACAAGAACTGCAAATTTACTCAGTGCATTCACTTTTAAATGTTTATTTATCTTACAAGATGCTGATCTCTAAACAATCTCTGGTATTTGAAAGCTGTTGTACGCTGCTCTTTCTTGGATGTAAAGCTTATGTGATGATCTGATATTATGCTTAGTATTACATAAAAGACTTCTTGCTACATAGATTTTAGAAGTCGGTTTGGGTTAGGGTTAGGGTTAGGGTTAGGGTTAGGGTTAGGGTTAGGGTTATCAAAAGCATTTTTGATAAATGCTTTGCTCACAGTTTTAAAAGTTAAAAGTGGTCAAGTTTTCCAGCTAGTAGGAAATGGGTAATGGAAGGAGTGTTCTCATTGTTTTCTAAATGTTCGGGGAGTTTCACATCTCTAGCCAGTCCAAAGCTGGACCTCAAGGTTTTGTTCCATGTAGTCTAGGATTTCTGAAGCTGTTGGTGAGATGGAGGCCTAAAAGTCTAGATCCTTGCCTGCAGCAACAGGGAGTTAGTTACTTCCTTGTTGACTGGGGCTGGCCCAAGACTTTTGCTGCCTTAGATGAAATAAAATGAGATCGGCAGCTAATTCTTATATCATCTTAGGCTATAGGACTGCATCTTTCAGTGTACTTGAGGGAACACATTTCCATGTGGCTCTCTCTTTGCCCCTCAGCATCTGGCGACAGAATAGTGCAGTTTTACCCAACTGAATCTCTAAGCCAGAAAGAAGTTGCGCTGTATCTTAAGTTGTTGGTTTGTTTACTAGGCAGCTAGGAAACTGTCCCATACGAAGTCAGATCATTGGTCCATCCAGAAGAACATGACCCCAACCACTAAGTTAAGCCCCAAAGCCCATGAATCTTCAGGTTCAGTAGAACTTATTTCTATAAATATTCTTGGGGTCACACTTAAAACAGCCATGAATTCTACCTAAGATTTATTTTGTCTGTGCCATTATTTTACTTGCATCAAACTGTGGGGAGTTTTGTATTCAAGCTCTTAACAATACTAGAAATAAGAAAGGAACATGGCCAGATCAAATGAATGTTCGGGAAGATTTATTGTTTCAATGCTATAATGAATTCAACATCAAAATGGAAAAACAGCTGCAGAGTATATTTGGAGGGCTTTATTACAAACATCTATTTAAAAAGAATTGGGGTGGGAAGTCACACTGATTCATGGGGGTTATTTCAATGCTATGTTTTATGTGCATTTTAATTATGTCTTTTACCAGTATGTACAGCTTGCATTCTGCAAGTATAAATATATTGCTGCTGTCACCAAAAATCCCCTCTCACTTCATCTAAAGACAATTCTAGCATGTAAAGGGGAAAACTCTTCATGACCAGCAGTTGGGGTTCTACCCAGTGTTCCTCTGGATTTGATTATAATGTGAACCAATTAAGAATACTCAGAAGGGAAGAAATATGAGTTTCCTAATAAATTTGGAAATATCTTAATCGTTTGGGGCATCATCCTCAACCTTTGGTGCCTTCCTGCAAGTGCTGACTCCACGAGAAGCATGGAAGGTGGCAAAAAGGGGGAGAGCTGCCTTTGTGATGGCTCCACTGTATATGGAAGAACCTCCACACTGAGGCCTGTCTGGCACTGAATTTGACTTCTTTTTTGTATCAGCTCATGGTGGCCTCTTCAACGGACTTTCAATGGACCGGCAACTGAGGGGGAAAGAGTTAAGCACCCTTCTTTTGCCATGCAGCAGGCAGAGGACATTTTTTGACTTTTAGAGAAGGGATGGAGGGAAAGTAGCAACAAGGAAGTTCCTCTATTATGCAGTTTGTGGAATGGGTGCAATCCAGCAGTCTCAGAGGACTGCAAGTAACACTCAGAGGATGGCAAGCAACCTTTGCATGGCAGGAACAGCAAGGAGGCAAAGTCTGCCTCCAGCCTTGCAAGTCACTTAGACAGCTGATTTTGGCAATCCAGCTGCATCACTTCAGAGGGGAAGAGAAGGAACATGGAGCGCCACCAGAATATGTCAGATCCTGGTGGTCCTAGTCTTCTTTCTTCCCCTGCAATAACCCTCTGTACCTCTTCTTTGAGGTCATTCTTACAACCTCGAAGAGGCAGCTGGCATGGT